GTAAGAGAATTAAGGAACAGCTTCCAAGTTGTCTTTACAATCGCGAGAAGAGGACAAACTACAGCGCGCTTATGAACCATCTAATCAACACAGGCCACCAGACAAACAAACAAACATTTTTTCAGCTTCTCCACAGAACAGCACTAAGGCATAATTATCATTAAGAGCAAGGCCACTTGCCACCGCTGAGGCAGTATGCATATGTCTGACAAACCCAAAGTTGTGTGTTCAGAAGAAAAGGATATAAACACTAGAACTTTCGTGACCAACCACCAGACGGGAAGGAAGTGATGGCACTCCGCAAATCTACCTGACTTCAGTCATGCGTTTAGATGACTGCCATCATGATCAATTGTTTCTTTGTTATGCTGACGATTGCAACAGATCTTACCCTGTTGTATATTATTGTATGAGCCTGATGAAGAATTAATCGCGAACAACTGTTAGCTTAAAGCTTCGTGTTTTGTTTCTCCTTCTGAACTTGACGCAATAACTGGATATTCTGCTAGCATTCAGAAAGGTTTGTGAAAAGCAAGGTAACCAAAAAGCATATAATACAAGACAATAAACAGGTAATATAATGCTTAGTATTATATTATGAAATCATGCTGGTTGGTTTGTTGAACAATCGCCTTGCGCTGGCTCGGTGTTTCGGGAATTTCCGGTTCGGCAGTGCCTATCAGTTTTCACATCTTCAGATCATCGCAAAGAGAGCACACGGCAACCAAAGAAGCTGAGGTAGATCTTTGATATAAGTCAGGAACAATTAAGGCCCCAGAAACGTACTTTGGGGTGCGCCACTGGTCATAGCATACCAGTCGGTCAGGTGGTTATCGATTCGCACCTTCTACTCGTCCAACGAAAAACTCGCGGACCCACTGGCGCAGTGAGCCACCAACACCGCACAGTCTCAGTTTGTGGAGCAAGACCTCATGGTTAATGTTGTCGAATGCGTTGCTAAGATGGACCTGCTTCCCTTGATTCATTTCTTGCAACCAATCATGCCACGTCACAAGCAGGTTGGTGATGCATGAACAGCTGGACATGAAACCTTGCTGTGCGGGTGTAAGGAGGTCTGTTGGCCTGAACAGCTGCAGCAAACCTCTTCTTCACAATGTCCTTGGCAACCTTCTCCAATATAGGTGTCAAACACATTGACTCGTAATCTTCGGGTTTTGGAGCATTCGCCGCTGTAATTGTGGTCATCGGCCTCACCTCCGAGCATTTGCAACCAGTCGACAATAAACCTTCGCACATAGACCTGTTGAACAGGTCAGTTACCGCAGGCGAGATGATGTCCGATAAGGACATGAGAATCAGGGGGTGGGGCCCGTCAGACCCAGCAGGCATGGTGCCGTTAATATTGGCGAGTAGCTGACGCATCTGTTCCACACCACAATCCAGACCGTCGTGTTCGGTAAGGGTGGCGCATGCCGAACTAGCTACAGACACCTGGTCATTTGCGAACAGAATCAAAGTGCATCGCCACGGTGGACACAAGGTCAGTTCTAGAGTTAAGGGGCTGTCCGTCCGCTGGTAGGTCACTTGTCGGCTCTAGACACCGATTCACGTACGCAAAGATTCTCCTCGGTGCGGTCCCTTCTGTGGTTGCAAGCTACTGTTCCAAAGGTCTGCGTTTGCCCATTTTCGATATGTTGCAAATGTTTCGCTGCTTTTTATATACCTCGTAGACGTCAACCGAGCCAGAGGTAAGGAATGTGTCCCCAGTCTGCGCCGCTGCCGAAACAGATTAGCATATTTCTTATCGATCAAATGTTGCTTGATCGGTCCGACTTGGCCAAACTTGCGAGGCAGAAACCGGCTACACACTAGGTGTACTCCATTCTGGTTGACTGTCTCGCCGAATAACCTCTTCGTGGTGACAGATGGGCAGCTCGGGAATTTTCCGCTCCGGGGAACGGTTCGGCGGCCTTGTTCCAGTACCTGGTTTTCGAATGGCAAATGTTCTCTATACGAAAAGTCACAAATGTGTGCTTAACATCAGTGATGTGGTTGATGTGACCCAACACTCAATGTGCATTCGTAAGCTAGCCGAATATTGGATTCTGTCTCTGACTTCGGGAATACTGGGCTCCCGGTATAACTTGTTAGTCTCCGAAAAGCGTATGAATTGAGTTACTGGCTCCCAACGAGTGTGGAACCCTTATCTCACCGCGCTGCCTTGTGAGTTAGGCTCTATGACAAAAGGCTCGGGACCGTGGTCCCCTATGACAACCTACCTAATTCGGCCAAGGCAACTGGGTAGTATCTCGTGATGGACCACACCAGACTACGCTAACACACGTCTCCAAGTTACCTGCCTTTCCCTAGCATCATTCGCTCCCATTGTTACCTGATTCTTCAACAATGAACAGCCATACTTCTGCCAATGAATTTGTTCCCTTAACATCCTTCATCTCAGCCACAGGAAGCTGCCAGCACCGAAGTCTTCCTTCTTCGATCCTACAACATGGATGGTAGTAAAAGCTAGCAACTTTCCACGTGGGCAAATCGCTACAAATCGGACAGGAAGCCGGACTTACACGCACGCTGGAGACCACTGCAATTAATGCCTGATGCATGAGTGAAACACGACTTCAGGATTTAAGCATTTTATCACGTTACCAGTCCTCCCATACACCCGTTTCTATCGCCGCTTTCGTGGTGACGCCGAGTCTGCTGCATCTTGACAAGCTGGTGTTGGGACCATTTTCAATGCCAGATCCGAGACCGCCCTCCTTGATTGGATCCCAGGCAAAAGTTGCCCTTGTGCCATGAGGCACTGCGTTTCTTGCTAAGTTAGCAGAAGTCGAGCCGAGAAATGTGCTCATTTTGTGATCACCGCCACGCGCCCACTGACTGCAACTCGGATATAGTCACAGACCAGTTTCATCAAAACTTTTATGAGCTGTTACTAAAGGCTTCTAAAACAGACACCTACATTATGGCAGATAACTAACTCACCTGCCATTCGATTGCTTTCATGTGAACGCCACCTCGAGGGACCGCTTAGAGATGATGTTACTCGCTATGACACTGGTGTGAGACTGCTTAGTCTATGTGCTGACCAACAACTTTTCCCCTTTGTCATGACCTTTCCTCACCCTGCATGCCACTATGCCATATGGCGTCCTCCATCATCAACCCAGCCCCGGTCACAAATTGATCGCATAATCACAACGCGCAGGTGGCACGTTCATCGTGCGCGATAGCAGGTCATTTTGGTCAACTTGTGTTGAAACCCATAATGCATTGGCGTGTGCGAGAGTTTGCATGTGTTTCGGTGGTTCACCTATGGCCAAAAAAACCTCGCTGAACCCCTACAAATTAAGGGGCCCAAAGGCTAATAACAGAGGCTTCGTGAAAATTACGCTCTCTCCCTTACTCTGGATGTTGACGAATAACGGCCAGGTGTGCAACAAACAATAATGTCCGTCCGCTTGTCCAGCTGCGGGCTCCCTTGCTGTACAGCCGAAAACTGGATCTCGACAAAATCCTTAATACTGCTAGTTCGTTGTAAAGACTGTGCCCACTGTTGAGGAGCACAACGAACTCCGTCGGTCTATTTCTCAACAAATGAACGTAAGTCTTCGGTCTAAACGTGAGTCGTGTTAGTCAAAACGTGATGCTTAGATGGAAGCCACTCCCTAGTATCATCAACGGCAATACATCGATCGTTTGAACTGATGCTTCGCTGCCATTATTTAAAGAACGAAGAGAAATAAAAGGGAGATGAGGAAGGAAAGTAAAAACTCAGTGCCCTATGCAAGGCGCCTACACTTTGTCAACAACATACCGTTACAATTAGCTGACTATCTTGCAAAGATAAGACGGCATCAG